AGTAGCTGCTTTTTCAGCTGCCAGCCTGCTACTGCAGTAGTCCTGAGCGCTGCCTCCTGCACTCGCCATCCAGGCAGCTCCCTCACCTTAACCACAGTTGAATAGAACTGGATCATTTTCTGCTTTGTGCTGTGGGCAAAATCACAGGCTTGTTCTCCTGAAATTGTTCTATCCTTTCAAGACCCTGAAAGGTTTAAAGGAGATGTTGAAAAAGTAGGTCACGGGGCAGAAATAGGTGCAAAAACATTTAGTAGCAAGCTGTGGCAAGCATTCAATCCACTATACTTATGGCTGTGAGCATCACCTGCATGGACGCTGACGCTCACACAGGTAAGAAAGGGACGCAAAGAACCAGAATACAAACAGGTAACAAAGCTGAAGGTGATCCTGTTTCCTGTTAACATACAGTTTAAATGTGGTGATGTGTAAATATTACAAATGTACACAATACGTTCATATATATATACAAGAATCTAAGCGACTGCAGAAAACCTATTTTACTCATCGATTCTCTCGCCCCGGTCGCTCCACGCCCAGGACATTTTCACACATTCCTGTTTTCACATCAGTTGATTTGACCAGCTGATTCCCAGCAGACACTGATGAAGCACAGACGAGAAAGAAGAAATCAATCAATATCGAACTGAGTCTGATGTGATTATAAAGTCCAAACAGCTTAGCATTAGCTTCAAGACTTTCTTCCAAACCATCATCTTTAATAACGGTGTTATAAAGCAGTTTCTCAGAGACTTTGTAAAACTGTGCAGCAAATATGAGAAAACACTGGGATTCAGATATTCCTGAGTCTGGGATTAAAAACAGAATCATGGGATAGCTTTGCTACGCTCACAAATGATGTCCAAGTCTTCAGTTCCTGTGTAAATGTATGACCAAAACTATTTACAAAGGGCAGCCCTGGTGGATTGCAGCACCCAGTGGACTGGTCTGGATATCATGACCATTTCTACGGTTTACAGAGAATGTCAGAAATAAGAAACTATGCAGTGAGCTGCAGTTGTCTGTGACAAAATGCCATAATGGTGTTAGAGAACAGGCCAATGGAGACTCAAATAACTAAATATAGCCAAAGTATGCAGAAGAGCATCTCTGAGAGCACAACACATCAAACCTTGAAGCTGGTGGGCAGCAGCAAAAGACCACACTGGGTGCCATTCCTGTCAGCTAAGCAATTGTAATTATGGGATAATTTATTTGCACACTCTGGGATCAATAGTAGCAACTGAGCATCATTAAAAACCACAGCCTGAGTACCGTTTCTGTCCAGCCCTTTGTGACCACAGTGGACCAACCTTCTGTGGTTGATCTTCAGTGTTATGAAGATCAGATCTGTAGCAAATATATGAGGTTTTTATATCAATATGGAGCAAAATCTAGAAGGAATATTTCCAGCACTTAGTTGAATTACAATAGAATGAGTACTAGCAAGTGTTTGTCCTGCCTCTCTCCCATCAACCCACCTGTCCCTGAGCCTGGATTTAAGGGGGAAAGTTGTCTGATTGTTGGAGCTTTCTCTGTATCATTGTAGTCTTTACTACATGCACTGAGGCGACTGCTTTTGTGATTTACCACTATATTTCTAAAATGTCATTGAATTGAAAATCACATCCAGTATGTATCTTCCAGGTTTGATCCCGAGGCCAGCTGGTGTATCATGTTTCTTTGACCATTGACTGTTTAAGGTCAGGCTTCTCTGCTTAAATAATATATCACAGCACAGAAGATGAAGCAGTGTGAGAGATAAGAGAGTCTGTGCTGCTCTGAATAAGCTTCTCAGGTATTATCCTGGATACTTCAACACCATCACAGACATTGATTTATTTTCTCAGTCAAATGCGATCTCTTAAACAAAAATAAATTCGCATCTGTGGCATCTCCATGTGAAGCAGCTTTTTGAAGTGGCACACGGGTCAAGTCCAGCCTGAGGCAGACAGCAGATTAGGGCTGCCACGATTAGTCGACTAGTCACGATTACGTCGACTATCAAAATCGTCGACGACTGATTTAATAGTCGACGCGTCGTTTGAAGCTTTGTAAGATCCCAAAAGCCGCAGGAATAAGTAGCAGGATTTAAGAGTGTAATAACGGACTGAAACAGAAGATGGCAGCACTGCATGTACAAGGATGCCAGCTGCTGTTAAACCCCGAAGAAGAAGAAGAAGAAGAAGAAGCTGTGTCCCAGAATTCATAGCGCAGCCCAGCTCAGTTTCCAACAATGGCGGCAGCTAGTTAGTTTTAATATTACTCTTATTATTCTTTCTGGGTCACAAAATAAACATTTAACATATTTTCAGGCGAGAATGTAGCTGTGCAAACCTCAAATGTCTGCTCAGTTTATCAAGACACCGCATATTTTCAAAAGCGCTCCGACGTTTTCGGAGATGTCTGTTACCCACTAGCTCGTTAGCTAGGCGGGGGCTAGGCTAACTAGAGCCGTGAGAACACCGGACTCCCCGCAAATCTTTTTCAAACCCACCGCCGTCTTTCGCTACTCAGGTTAAACATATATGAGTCACTTAGATAACTTAAAATGTTATTGTTTGGCTTTTTTTAGTATTTTATTTGTTCCTGAGTAAATCGGTTTGGCTGAGATTAAAGTTATAGTTTTTACACAGCTGAATAAACGTCAAGCAGACAGCTGATTATCAGAAGTGTGAGATGCTCCAGAATTTACTCCGGTGTCCTGTTATATTTTAGATAGCAAGGAGTTTATTAAACTTCACCGAAACAATCTGCAGATTTCATTAACATTTAATAAACTATCATCTTGTCTTTATTTTTAGTTAGCACAGACCTGAAACACCTAAAGCTGTAAGCTAATGATAGTTATATAAGAGCAGATGCTGCTGGTGCAATAAGCTGTACGTTTTATGTCCAATGGATGATGATCTGATTAGTCGACTATCAAAATAATCGTTTGTGGCAGCCCTACAGCAGACATCATATGAGGCTGATTCCGCTAACCCCCCCCCAAAAAAAAAAAACAAAACAAAACAAAAAAAACAAAACAAAACTACAAAACAGTTTGACATTCAGTCAGAGGAGCCACTGCCTCTTCAAATCCAGTCCTCAGCAGCTGACATGAAAACATATCTCTGCATTCATTCAGCAGTTTGGAGCAAAGCGTCTTTGAAAAGTAATCCGTCAGGCTGACGAATGGCAACAAGAGCTGGAGAAAAGATATCTGCCAACAAAGATCAAAGGAAGCAGAGATCATTTCTAAGTAAAGAGAAAGGTCACTCTATAATACAGCTGGGATGAGTTTCAGAGTCAGACTCTCCGGGTAAACTGTTGGACTGCTGCAGGTTTACACAAATATATTGTATTCAACGTAGGACAATTATTCTGAAGGTCATAAACACTGTATCTCATATCAACATGAAAACATACTCAACAAATCCTCTTCAGAATAATCATACTTGATTGAGATTCGAGTTAATGTGGACTTTTGATGCAGTCTGAATCTGGAAACACTCTGTACTTCCTTTTAGCTGGGTCACCGTTGTAATTCAGTGATAACTGCCAGCAGCTAAACATATGGGATAGATAACAAATAATGAGGCTCATTCAATGAGCTGATAACATTTCAAACAAGTGACTCAGCGATTATATCTCCCACTCACTCAAACTTTTCTCATAATATTTCTCATTATAAGTTTTTTTTTTGAGACCTGGCTCTCAAAAAAAAGTAAAAAACTTCTTAGTCATAATTACGACATACAATGTGCTAATGAAAAATAAGTTTTATTGTCTTGCTCTGACTTAAAGTTGTAAAAGTCAGAGACAGTTTTCAATGAGTCCGCTGATCTTAATCACTACCTCAAACGTCTGTTACTCGTCTACTTTTCAGGTTGCAGGTCTGCAAGTTGTGAAGCTGAAAATCAGTTTGATGGTCAAAACAATTTCTGCCTTGTGAAAACCCCGGATTTGGTGATTCCCAATCGGCAGTAAATAGCCCAAGAGTCACTTGTACAGTAGTCACGGAGCATGCAAAAGATTAGCCTAACCAATCTGAGAAACACTGAAACTTTCACTAAGTTAATGAACCTGAACAGGTTTAGCAGAAAAGTTAAGTTAGTTAAAAGTCATGGAGTAGGAGAAATTATACCCCCCTCCCGCTGTGCTGAACAATGGTTGGATTGCTACGTAGCTTAGATAGCTGAGAAACAAAATAGTTAAAACAGCTAAAAATGTTATAATACAGGAACAGTTCAAGGAGCTTCTATAATTAGGAATAAAATATTGGAAACCATTGGCTAAAAATATTGCAGTAAGTAATAATTTTAGTTAACGTTGCAGATAACCAAATCTATTTGATAAAGTATAATATAGAGCTGAAATAAAAATGACTTATTCTTACTGGAATATTTAGCAGCGCAAAATGGTTATTCTGAAACTTAAAATATAGCTTAGCAAGTGAAAGTGATGAAGCACAGATGGGCATGAAAAAAATCCCAAAATAAATCTGTTAGGTACAAACAATATTAAATGATGAAAAGCTGTCAGTTAAACAGGATCAACTCAAAATGACTTCCTGTGTCCGTTCTAGTTTTAATGTTGGTCGTGTAACAGTGAATAGCTGTTAAAGGAAGTAGAAGCTAAAAACAGTAGCTTCATGGTTGGATTAATAAGCCAGCTGTTATAGATGAATGATTAGATACGATTGCTGACCATAGCTGATTGTTGGTAAGCTGATAAACTGATCAAAGTAAATGGTAAACTGAAAGTAACCAAGATCCAGTTTAAAGAAGTTTAAATGAATACTAGATGATGATGGGGGTTACTTGAGTCCACCTGATCAGTCACTGGGACTGTGTCAGGTGAAATAGCTATTGGATGCTGATGTTAAGTTAAGCTTAATAAAGCTTATAATGAATACAGATTTTATTTAAAAAATTTGATTATCCAAATTTAAATCATGTCATCTTGTCTATGACTAAATGCAGCTGAGGCGGCTCCCGTCTTACTTTGCTGTCCCTCAGGTTTGGCAGTGTTGCAGAGGATCCTGGACACGGCGGCAGAACGAAGTTGGCAGGTCACCTCGGTTAACCTGGACAGTCTCACAGAGCCGGCCTTCATCAAGCTGCTGGCTGACCTCGACTACAAGAAGGACTTCCAGATCATCATCGACTGCGAGCTGAAACGCCTCAACTACATCCTCAACCTGGTAAAACACTCTGAAACCAAACCAGTGGCCTCCACTCTGTCTGCATAAGAATTACTGCCTGATACTTCTGAGGGCCTACAGTAATGATATTGTGAATTAGCATGAAATTTTATCAGCGCTCTGGTGTGAGAAGTCAGAAATGCTGATTGTAACTATTATTATAATTTCTGTATTTTTATTTTTAGTAGATAATTTGTTTTGTTAAGTACAAAAACTCCTCCCGCCCTGTGGTACCTGGGAGAGGCTCTAGCCCTCCAGCAACCCTAAACTGGATGAACAGTTCGGAAAGTGCATGGATGGATGGTTCCCTCTCCATTCATATAATAAAAAAGTTCTTGTAAATAACTTCTCAAATAGCTGCTGAGTGGCAGCACTAATAACTGGGCAGGTAATGTTTCTTCCTGATCTTGTGGAAATACAGCCAACTCAATATTGCCTTGGAGCTTTCCCCAAGTCTCCAAGCTCTTTTGGTTTCACCCTCGCTCTTCACCATCTTCAATTATTTGGGGAAAATCCCCGATTTGTTTTTTTTCTGTAAGCCTGCCTTTACAGTGAAGCTGAACCCAACTAAAAGCCGGTGGTTTCAGTTTGTTTTTATCCACTGGTCAGTCTAAATTGAATTAATAGTTTCATGTAAGTGTTATTTAAGGGCAGAAACAAACTGAATGTTGGATGATTTTAGCTTCTTCCTCTAATCACCTGTGGAAAATGATAACAGTTTTATGTTGAGGCATTCCATCTGAAATCAACATGAGCCTCCAGCTCGACTGTCTAAAGCTAAAGAATGGTTGCGTTGAAACCGTAGATTCGTATATCAAATATTCTCCAGCACCATGAACTTGACAAGAATAAGTGGAAGAGGATGAATGGATGTGAAATATCAGAAGTTGTGCCACAGAAACAAAACACCAGTAGATAGTCTAATCCAATTCAAACACAGCTCTGGAGTTTTCCAGATGGTACTCCAGCTCTAACAGGAAATCATTTTGTTCAATATGTGCATATTTTTCATTTTGGAAAATTTCGGCCCTGGAGGAGTCTAAAAAGGAAACTTAATGATTCTAAGAGACATTAAAAACTCAACAAGGATCAATGTCATGTTTTTGTATATAACATTTGATGTGAGCAGGCTTGAAGGCCAAGCTGCTGTATCAGTACACACCAACCCTCTAACCACTGCTACCATATTAGTGATTAGAAACCATACCACTGCTATAACAAGACAGTTACAGTATTTTTCTGATTGGCCCCTCATGACATCATACAGATCCAATACTATGAAACCGGAGTGCTTTGGCCTGCAGGGATTACAGACACCAACTGCATTGTATTGAATCAGAGTATTTTCCCCTTTATTGAGAATAACAGCGGCACTTTAACTCAGACTCGTCTGGGATGATCCCGTTCTCGGTGTCGGTTAATGAGAAGCTCGTGTGTAAGCAAACCCTCGACGCGACGAGCAGCGGAGCTAAAGTGAACAGAACAATGCGGCCCTGATGAGCTGATACTGACTGTGTGTGAAAAAGAAACAGATTTCAGATTCAGCGTGGCGCAGAAAGTAATAACCAGATGGCAGTCAAAGATTAATTATGTATTAAATTTAATGACAGTTTCTGTTTGGAAGATTCAACAGATATCAGGCTTTAAAAAGCTCAACAACCTGTCTGCTGTTAGGAGAGGGAGCCGCAGGATTAGGTGCCACTCTGCATGACTAAAACTCACCACATAGCACAGCTTTTTTCCCCGAGACTCGGCACAGTTTTGGCTCGGCTCGGCTCAGCTTGGCACTGTTACTGTGCTTCTTTTCATCCCTTGGCTCCCTCTGGGAAGCTGCTGTTGTCTGCCAGCTGTTAAGAGCCTATTAGAGCCAGTGTTAGTGCGACAGTAGAGTCTGAAGAGGCGTCGTCAGAGCACCACAGATAGGTGTGAACCTGAAGGTGGAAGGGTTCACGGTTAGGATTTCTTCAGTGACTTCTCAGCTGTCTTTGTTTTTGCTAACGCTGTGACTCACACACAGCTGCTGGTGTTGAAGAATTCAATTATGGGACTGGAAAAGAGCAGAATCGTCCCCAAATGATCTCCTAATGAGCCTCTTTAACATCGTTACAGCACTGACGACTGTTTGGTTCATTTGTGAGAAAAAAGTCCTGGGAAAGAGAAATTTGAATAATTTATATTTTAGGTTTAGTGTTCCTAAAATCGAAAAAAACAAAACTTTCTTTTTCCACAGGATTCCATATTATATCTTCTAATTTTCTAGCAACATTTACAAAGTATTTTATAGTCATAAATTTCACAGTACAAGTGTTTTCAGTGATAACCAGTACTCCTGTGTCACGGATCGTACCAACCAATAGCAGCACATAAGAGCACAAAGAGCGGGGGGGCGGGAAAGCTTATCCAGGGAGACTCCAGGAGGCCGGATTTGGCTGCGGTGCTCGGAGCTCCTGCCCACAGAGATATTCCAGCTTTTAGAAATAATTATGCTTTTTGGTTCTTTTATATAAAATAACCAAATGTGAAAATATTTCCCAGGTGACTCTTTCAGAATCTGTGGATTATTCTTTATATAACTTTAATAAATAAACACAATAATATATAAAACATTAACTTGAGGCATTTCATCTTCATACTGTAAAAACTTTCAGAGCTTCAGGCCTCAGCGTACCTGAGGTGGATTCAATTTGGTGCTTTCAAATGATTTTTTGGCATCTTTAAAGCCTCATAACTTGTTAATCACAGAAGATAGAAATATGAAACTGAAAAACACGTTTAAGATCTGTTAAAACCTGCAAACAAATCAATATTACATTATAAGGACAAAAATATCCCTCTAAATGTAATGTAGCAGACGGATTCTGCACAGTCATTTTCCTGGTACTATAGAAAGGTGGGCGTTATATACGAAGATCATCATCATTCACAGTCTGGTGACAGAAGCAGGCCCAGGTCCCAGCTGGCAGGATAAAAACTTCACTCTATCAGACTGGAAAAGTTCTCAAACAAGCACCGAAGGCTGGTATTTTAGAAAATGACTCACAGCTAGAACGTGAGCTTTTTATGTTCTGACTTGCTTCAAGCAGCTCTCTCTCTGACATGGTGATCGAGGTTTTACCTAAAATGGACTTTTTGAAGTTTCCTGCAGTGATTTATCAGAAAAGAAGTTAAAGACAACCGACGTGTGTTCCTCTACTTCAGCGACGTTACACTAGTGCAGTTATGATACATCCCATAATACTGAAGCTCAGAGCTGGTTATAACACCAAGCACATTTTATATTAATCAGTCTGTTTTCAAAGGAGCTTGCAAAGAAAAGCGTCTGGACTTCTTTAAGTTGCTTGAAGACGTTTCACCTCTCATCCGAGAAGCTTCTTCAGTTCTAAGGTCAAATGGTGGAGAGTCCCAGATATAACCTAGTGGGAGTAATATCTGGGACTCTCCACCATTTGACCTTAGAACTGAAGAAGCTTCTCGGATGAGAGGTGAAACGTCTTCAAGCAACTTAAAGAAGTCCAGACGCTTTTCTTTGCAAGCTCTGTAGACTACCATGACCTGGATGACTGAGAACCTTCAGAATCAGTCTGTTTATTTTTTACTAATTGTTCCCTCAAAGATAATAAATAACTCTGAGGGTATTGACATGATGCTTTATTATCCACAGGGATGATGATGATGATGATGATGCTGTTAATTGTGGTTGTATTTCTTTGTGTTTTCCTGTTAATTATTTCTCATTGGTTTTATGGAACGAGTGTTTTATAAACTCATCAGTCGTGAATGTCTGTGATGTCATGTGGATGGAAATCCTTATATGGTCATCTCTGATCCCAACCAGCTCCTCTTTGAGCTTTGTGTTTACAAGAGGCAGCCAATCAGTGTGAGATATATAAAGATTGCTTTGGGCTGTGATTCACGCAGAGCTACTCCGGCAGAGTAAAAGAACAAAACTATGAAGCAGGAAGTCAGTGGCTCGTGTCCTTATGTTGTTTTATAATCTTTTCATGCATACATGTTTATCACAGACCCCACAAACACAGAGTTGTTCTGTTTGAGCCTCTCGGTGTTCAGAGCAGCTGGATTTCGTGCTCAGTGTCTTCAGCTGCAGCTGCTTTACTGTCCAGATTTTGGTGGAACACTTTGATTTCAGAGAGACACTTCAAAATTCAGGAAGAAGGAACGTTTGGTATCAGCTGAGATCAGTTTGTAAGAGAGGAATGAAAGAGGGCAGCAGGAGAGAGACGAGAAGCCAAAGGTGCTCAGTGGGAACTCTGGCCAGAAACCAGCTGTCATTTGGGAAATTCCTCTTTCTGCTGAGCTCCAGCTGGCTGAATGAGACTCAAGTATCAGGTGGCTTGTTGGATCTGTGAAATGAAGCCATTGGCTTCAGCATCACCGTTTAGTTTGGCTGAAATGATCAGGTGGCGCTTGCTTTGGCTCAAATTGGTTCATTTAGTCCAGCTGGATGGGGTGAAAGTTTCCAGTGGATGACGTCGGTGACTTCAGATGGAAGACTGATTTTTACAGAAAGTTGATTCTAATCATGTGGACGCAGAGTTTTCAGTGGGAGAAACCAGTGACTGCAGCTGATACTGACGTGTCACATAACAACGACTGAAAACTCAACATCCAGATAAACAAAATCCATTTTCTTTCAGCTCCACGACGTGGCAAAAGTCAGGAGATCATAACAGTCTGACTGGGACTGATAAATCAATAAATGACAAGGTGATAAAAATAACAACAACAACAAAACACTGACAGCTTTCACAAGCTTGTGGTCCAGCTGTGGGCCCACTGCACCAGCACCCTGTAAATGACCGTAACTCGTGCTCGAGCTTTAGGGAGATCTTTGGTATCACAGTCGCACAAAACATGCAGAGTGTACTGCTGTCTGCACACAGACAGGGTCATATTATGTGAACTTTACAATAACATAATTCAAAAACCATTTTGGACATGAAAGAACAAACAAGTTACTCCTGAAAAATATTTTTTTAAGTCCAGACAGCCTGTATGTTATATCGTTATACCTGAGTAAAAACCAGTTAAAAATCATCTCAACTTCATACTAAGAAGTTATGAAGGTGTTCACTAATGTGCGTCCAGGTCAGGTGTGGTAATGTGTTGTGTTCCCAGTACAAAGCTGAGCAGTCAACGCTAACCTTCTTTACAACCGAGAAAAACTCTGAGCTGAGGCCATAAATCTAAACAGGCAGAAAAGCACTTTTCACTCCTACTAACTCAGGAAAATGTCATATTTTCTTCTCCTTTTTCCTCATCTAGTGATGGATTTTTCTGAACACTCGTATCATTTAAACTAAAGCAGCTCACACAGAAGGCTAAGTTAGCTCCTGCTCAGTTAACAGATGCATGTTTCTGCTAATCAGAGCAAAGTTCCAAGCAAAGCAAGGATAAACCTGGTGTGTTAGATAACTGCATTACAAAAGCTCCAGATATGGTCCACGGGTCCAGGTCAGGGACTCTAGTACAAGAGTTTAAACAGGTGAGACTATGGGGACTGTGGCCATCAGATGAACTGCAGGTTTTGGTGACAGTGTTGCTGTTGCTGTTCGATATTCAATTCTTTGACTGAGTAAAACTGCAACGTGCATCTTTCACTGTTTTGTACACATTTATTATAACAACTGTTAAGTGTTTGATCACAATATGAAAATTATTATCAGCTGAATGTGTTTGCTGTGAATGAACACCAAAAGAAACCAGAGGAATGAAGTGTTGGCTGGAAGCAAAAGGAGAGGAGGAGGTTTAAGAGGAGGGACGCTTCAGCAGCGTTCTCCTCCCTTCCTCCTCCAGAAGTGCCCAGTGATGCAGAGCAGCTGTTCGCGAACGCTCTTCGACTGCCGCTCATTAAAAGCCGGACCTGAGAGGAAGGCGTCAAACAACACCTGCTCCTCCTCTTCATAAACTTTCTCCTTTCTCTCCATCTTCCTTCCTTCCTGTCGTATGTCAGTGGAGTCGTGAATCTGAGGAGAGCTTCTTGCTTTCTTTCCAGCTCCTCCTGATGGCAAAGATGGGCAATTAATTCCTCAAAGAGCAGCCGAGTCTTCCAATTAGCAGCTGTTTGAGAGGACACACACACACATGGCGATGATTGTGATGAATGTGTGATTGGTGCTTTTTATCATCATTAGAAACATCAGGAAAATGTAATTAGCATATCATTTACTGTGCCTCTCGCTCCTGCTCAGATTGCTGCTCAGAAGAGGAACTTGAAGAACTACCACTACATCCTTGCCAATCTGGTGAGTTCAGGCTCAGCTTCCCCACACACAGGGCTGAGGTTAAGGACGTATGCAGATGACTTTAACAGTTTGCACAAACTTTCCAGAGACGTGAAAGTGCTCGCTGTTGTCTGCATGTGGAGCTGTTTCCAAATAAACTGCAGCATTTCAGTTCATAAGTTTAAAGAGCTAGAAATTTCCAAATACATTTGGAAATATGCAGGCTTTCTTTTAACACTAAACTAAACTCGAAACATAGAGTAGTGCAAATAACTTCCAGACAATGATGTCATTTTTCATCACCAAAGTGTGCATGTCATTGTTTATCTATACCGAAGACAGGGTTTTATGGGATGCAGTGAAAGTTCAGGCAGTGAAACCTGTTGCTTTCCTTTGTGTGTGTGTGTGTGTGTGTGTGTGTGTGTGTGTGTGTGTGTGTGTGTGTGTGTGTGTGTGTGTGTGTGTGTGTGTGTGTGTGTGTGTGTGTGTGTGTGTGTGTTAGGGCTTCTTGGACCTGAACGTCACAGAATTTCAGAAGCTCGGACCGAACGTGACCGGCTTCCAACTGGTGAATCGGTCGGATCCCGCTGTGCAGAAGATCAATCAGAACTGGCTGGACTTCGACAACAAAGACCTCAAAGTGGCTCGCAGGAGGCTCAAGGTACACACACACACACACACACACACACACACACACACACACACACACACACACACACACACACAGTGTTTTCATACTTTTTCTTTGTGAGGAAATCTGAATTGTATCCTGCCAGTATAAATGATCCTGACATTGTTGTTCTGACATTTTTTTACAGGTGTGATATAAATGGTCATTTGGGTTTGGTTTTTTTTGTTTTGTTTTTTTGCCTGTCCTGTTTGGATCTTTAGCCATCAGAATTGTTGTCTGAAGGTCAAGAAAGATGCCAAGTGGATTTACTTTACCGATTGGATCATCATGGCCATATTGGTCCATTATTTTTATTAAATACTTTATTTTAAGTATTTCTTTTATTTGATTCTCGGTTGTTATAGACGGGACAGACATGACTGGGGGATTGGACAGGGAGAAAGAATGAAAGAAAGAGAGGGAGAGAAAGAAAAATAGAGGAGGAGAGAGGAGACGGTGATAAAGGGGGAAGAAAGAAAAAACACCTGGATCACCTGTATGGAGATAAGAAAAAACAGAAGAGAAAACAAACAAAAAAGAGCAACATAATAAATACAACACCATCACAATAAACTAGCTAACAGTAGATACTGAATATTACATGTTATTGTGCAGCACACAAGATCGACAACGCACAATGTGCTTTGAGGTAGCAGCCAAGAAAGGTGTAGTTTGTGTCTGTGTACACCTGTGTGGATCAGCACGCTTGTATTCCAAAGGTTTCTCCATGTAACGATCTGCTAGGGGGTCTGGGGAGTCATAGCCCCGTCCCCCAGGGCATGAAGCAGGTATGGAGGAGATCCAGGCCCCAGACATCCAGAGGCCCCAGAGTACGAGGACCCAAGGAGGACCACCAGGGGGGCAACTGTGCCACCCTCCTGGGAAGAGCTGAGGAGAGCCTCAAACGAAAGGTCAACCAGCAGCCACAGAGCAGAGGCCAGAGGGGGTTGCAGTGACGTGCCCGCGGGCTGTGCTGGCAGCCAGCAGGCCCAGAGGCCTGAGGGCACCCCACCCCCGGAAGGGGCCTTACCGGGCCACAGGCGCCAGGTCCCGCCAATCGGCCACCAGGAGTGAGTCAGTACATACATGAGTGCCCAGCCCCAGACACCAAGAACCACCAACACACCAACGTCTGAGGGCATCAGCCACTGGCAGGGGGAGTGTGGTGAGGGGAGATAGACCTCCGTACTTTGGAGAGCCTGAGATGTTCCCAGCGAGGTGGAGTCTAAGACCCAAGCTGACATATAGACACAGACCAACAGGTGCACGCGGACATAAACGTGTATTCCCACCCCCATATACACAAACAAATACTTTGCACTCACCCGATGTGGAGACAGACACAAATAGACACTGTACACACATTCACACTCCCCAAACATACTCTAAATCCCAGGTCCAGATACCCCTGCTCCCAGACCACCTCCACCCAGCCCCCCAGCCCCGACGGCTAACAAAACGGGGGTGAGTGAAGACCCCATACCTCCCTCCGCCCGCTCATATGTAGTGTTGCTGCGTGCTGTTCTAACGTGCATTTAAAACACAGGAGGGCATGGTTCTTCCAGCCAGAGAGCAGCACGGCTCCTCCCGAAAACCCTTAATGTCTATATGCATTTAAAATTGAGGGTAGGGCACCAGCGCCAAAGGTGGGTTTGAATACAAAGACCATCCTCTGGACACTGTATAACGTGCCCACCCTCAAAGCCCTATATGTATGTTTTATGAGAATATGAGTAATGTCTAGGTGTCTAGGTTGCGGAATTAAATTGAGGCACAGGCAGCCAGAAGGGGACAGAAGGGGAGTACCTCCCCTGCACCCTGGTGAGACACCTGCACCCCAAGCCCTGCCTGTGTGTGGGTGTGGTGGAGCAGGAAGAGTGAGGCAGAGTGAGGCAGCTGAGGATGGGGAGGGAAGAAAAGGAGGGGCAAGCGGCCCCTCTCTGGGGCCAGCTCTCCCACTGACCCCAGTAGGCACCCCCACACTCTGGAATCCACCAGGGCAAGGGGGCCCAGGCCCATCCGGACCGGGGCCCACAGCAGCAGCACCACCCGGCCCCACAGAGTCCGGGGCAGCCCACCCGACCCCACCAGAGAGAAAACTGCACCCACCCCATCATCCAATCTTCTCCCAGACTACACAAGACAATAGACACCCAGATTGAATGATTCTCCACCTCTCCAATATCTCTCCCCCACCTGCAGAGTGAGCTCCTGTAGAGAGGAGACCTCCTGCAAAGATGTAACAGCCTCCCCACCAGTTAGAGAGCCCTCCAGTTGGGCAGATGCACCAGAGGTCCCCCGCACTGGGGCTGAGCCCCCATGCACCCACCCGCCCACCACCCTGGCGACACAACAACCAGGACCCAAGGCCCAGCCAGAGCCCCAGCCCGGGGCAGAGCACCCCCAAACCCTCAAGCCTCCACGCCCATCCCGGACCCACCCTGGGGCAGCCAGGCTACCAGGCCAGTAACCAACGTCCGCCAGCACAGACCCTCTCGCCACCAGAGCCCCTAACCAGGTCATGGCCACAACCCCCGTGTTAGGCCCTCCTGGGAAAACGTCCCTAGAGAATCCCCAGACGCCCTAAGGCCTTCCCTACCCCCATATCAACCACACTAGAGAAGGCAGGACCAAACTATGACCCCCCCACTCCCACCCCCACTAGGTGATGAAGCCGATCAAAGGAGCCCAGAGGGATTGATCAAATGTGATGGCAGAGGCTGTCTCAAGACTAATGTGATCTATCAGAGGGTTTTTATATTTGCTAGAATTAAGATTATTTTTATTTTTCCAGTTAATGAGGACTGTTTTCTTGGCAATGCATAGGGCTGTAAAATCGTTTATTTTTGGCAAGACCATCATTTTTATAGCGGCGACCCTTCCCATGAGTGACATGGGTAGAGATTTCCATCTAGCTAGATCGCCTTCTACTGTCTTTAAAAGTGGGATGTGGTTTAATTTAGTTAATTCTGCAAGCTTAGGAGACATATTGATACCTAAATATTTAATATTTCCAGATTGCAGTCGGGTAGATGAAGAATTATAGAAGGAGCAAATACTCAGAAGAACTGTAGATTTTGACCAGTTAATTGAGTAATCTGAGACTCTTGAGAAAGAGTTTATCAATGCAGTTACCCCAGAGAGATTGGTTTGTGAGTTTTGGAGAAAAAGTAACACATCATCAGCATAGAGACTGATTTTATGTTCTACATTCTTACATTTTATGCCCGTACTTGTTGTAGCCTTTCTAATTGCTGCTGCTAGTGGCTCAATAAAAATTGCAAACAGTGAAGGGGAGAGTGGGCATCCCTGCCTGGTGCCCCTCAGGAGACAGAAGCTGGAGGATGTTTGGTCATTTGTTCTGACACAAGCTGTTGGGGAATTATATCATATTTTTAACCAGCTTACGAAAGAGTTTCCAAAGCCAAATTTGTGTAAAGTTACAAATAGAAATTTCCAGTTAACTCTGTCAAATGCTTTTTCTGCATCAAGAGACAATATTATGGTTTCAATGTTTTTACTGCATGAGTAGTCTATTAAATTAAGTAATCTACATGTGTTTGTTGATGAGTGCCTACCGTTTATGAAACCAGTTTGGTCAGGATGAATTAAGAGGGGGGTTATTTTCTCTAATTTCTTTGAGAGAGCTTTGCAGATTATTTTAAGGTCTACATTTATAAGGGATATTGGACGATAGCTTGAAGGAAATACAGGGTCTTTGCCTGGTTTTACTAAGAGACTAATATTTGCAGAGTTCATATTTGGTGGTAGTCTGCCAATTTCTTTGATTTCCTCCAACATTCTGTGAAAAACTGGTGCCAGAATCGTCCAGAATTCTTTGTAAAATTCTGCAGGAAAGCCGTCTGGACTTGGAGCCTTATATTGGGCATACTTATCAGAGCTTCCTGGAGTTCACCTGGCGTCAGTGGCGAATCCAGTGCCATTGCTTGGGTATCTAATAATTTTGGAAGAGTTACGTTGTCGAGAAATTGATCAATTTCGTTTGTAGATGGGGTTATTTGTGGTGTATTTAAAGTTTCATAGAAATCCCTAAAATTTTTGTTTAATTTTTTTAAGGTCATATATTGTATTCCCAGATAAATCTTTAACAGCTCATATAGTTGTTTTTTCTTTATTGATTTTTAACTGGTTAGCTAGAAATTGTCCGGATTTGTTACCGTGTTCAAAATTTTGGAACCAAAGTCTTTGTACTAACAATTGAGTCTTTTTATTAATAATTTCATTTCATTCTGGTTTTGTTTTGCGTATTTTGTTCAAAATTTCTTGATCTTGGTGGGACACATAGGCTTTTTCTAAGGATTTGATGTTTTTTTCTAATTCCTGAACATTTTTGTTTTCTTCTTTCTTCTTAAGTGATGAGAAAGAAATTATTTTAGCTCTCATCACAGCTTTCCCTGCTTCCCAGAGGACAGATAAATGGTCATTTGTAGCTGCACTTCAAGATCGTCACTCTCCTGAAGCAAAAGGAATTAACAGGCGTTGTTCAGGCTAAAGCAGCAGTGACACAAATACAAACTATCATTCACAGATACTTTTCCATCTGCCCCATTGCTTTTATTCCCACTTGTTTCTTCTATTCTACTTCTATTTTGAATCTATTTAAGGAAAGTACAAAAAAAACCACATTTCTGTGTATGTAAAGCAAAATCTTGTCTCATTGTGTCACCAATAAAACTGTGAACAGGATCAGGATTTTTACCACTTTCCTCCTGCCTGACCACTCAGTACACAGGAGCTCTGACCTATGATGGTGTCAGCGTCATGGCAACGGCATTCCAGAATCTGCGGAGGCAACGGATCGACATCTCTCGCCGGGGCAACGCAGGGGAGTGCCTGGCCAACCCGCCCGCTCCGTGGGGACAGGGCATCGATATCCAGAGAGCCCTGCAGCAGGTATGCATAAACAGCACACAGGCAGAACTGAGAGTGGGTCCAGAGGGAGCAGCTGCCACAGAAGCCCCACCCACCTGCTCTTCAAAGCTTGTGTTTGTGAAAAACAGCCAATCAGAAAAGTTAGTTTAAAGGGAGATAAATAAGGATTATTTTGAACTGTAAATCACGTATAGAAATATGGAGGTTGGAATGAGGAGAATACTCCCTCTTTAAAAACACCAATATTTTTAGGTCCTCTGAGAAAGTAAATATTAACTCCGAGCTGTTCTCAGATCCTCAGGCTGCTCCAGCAGCTCAGAGGAAATGAAAAATGAAAGTTTTGTCCTGAAATGTCCCAGAAATGTCCTAGTCTGTAGATCGAAAAACATGTCAGACAAACGGAGCGTGAAGCACTTTAAACACAGAGGAATTTAAAATCAATGTAAGTGTTAAAAGCAGAAATAACGGGCTCTCTCCATCAGTGCTGCCGAGCTCTTCTGGTTATGAAATCCTGCAGTTTTTCATTTTTGCTTTGCTTTTCTTTGTGTTGACAGGTTCGTCTGGAGGGGCTGACGGGTCACGTCCAGTTCGATGAGCGCGGACATCGAACCAACTACACTTTGACTGTGATGGAGCTCAGCCACATTGGACCCAGGAAGGTGCTGCTCCCGCCGCTTGTTGTTTTGTTCAGTTCAGGCGGGTTTTGTGTGGAATTGCACTCAGCAGGTTTTCACTGCATCAGCTCCTTCCAGTAATTAGCTCCCTCTCCTCAGATTAAAGCTGCGATAATCAGTGAAATCAGCCTCTGCTGCGTTTGTTTGCTGCGGAAATCTGCCGACTCTCAGTTTTCTATTAAATTCCGTCAAACAGTGCATCACACAACGACTTATCATTGTGATGAGCTGCTTAGTCCTGCTTACTTTGTGGTTTACAAGACATCAGAGTGGGATATTTTAAAGTTTGATGGGCGCTATGGAAGAAACCAATGCATAAATGTTTCCAATAATTGCCGGAGGCTCCTGGAACTTTATAGTGTACAACACCCAAAAGACACCAAATTGCACAAAACAACAGCAAATGGATGCAAAATTACAAAAAACAGTACTCAAACCTGATACAAACCAACACAAGCGTTGCAAAGAAATAAATATAGTCATAATATAACAAAATTATAATTAAACAAAATGACTCAAAAGGCGTTCAGAGATGTGACTCATATTTTTTGTTGAGGAAGGAAACGCAAAAATGCAAATGTCTGTTTTCCCAACTCATACACACAAAATTCTCCCTGGGATTTCTTTTAGATTTCAACCCTCTGTTCTTTTAGCTCATGTTTCATATTTATCGTGACTGCTGCAAAGTACAGTTAACACAGCAGTGACAATGAAAGAGATTTTTTATTTAAATTAATTAAAAGCTTATTTAATTAAATAAAATAAATAAATAGCATTCATAATTAATTAAAAGAATATTATTTAATAAAGAAGAAACGATACGTGCTGCTGTTTTACACATGAAGGTGATATCACACTAATGCTACCATCTGCTGTCACACTTTACTAAACTTTCTCAGGTGAAATGGGCCACAGTGTATTGAAGTGTCATAATAAACATGTAAATGAAAAACATTTTATTAATCACAAAATCAGCATAGCAAATACGTTAAATAAGCAGGAAGGTAAGCAGGAGGCTCAGTAATGATGACATAAGTACAGAGTTGTGGTCCAACGGTGCTGTTTTGTGTCCAGATCGGCTTCTGGAATGAGAAGAGAGGCTATGTGAACACTGCCATCTACAGGCCGATGCAGGAGGAGTTTTACAATGTGCAGAACAAAACCTACATCGTCACTACCATCCTGGTAAGTTTGGGAAGGCAAGATGATTACCGGTAGTTCAAATATTTCACACAGTGCAGTAATATATTACTTGTTATGTTTGGAAAAAGTAAAGTATTTTGTGCAAATTAGGCAACGTTCTCACACACAGTCACAAATCTCTGACTGCTCCTGTTACCTGTTGAACTTCAGGCTCTGGCTGCTTGACTGCAGTCAGCATACACTCAACTTTAACATCACTCTGTAAAGATGTTTGCACAGACTTTATATCATCTTATCAGCTGTGGGTTTTTTTCCAGCTGTGGGTTTTTTTCATTTTCCTCAGAAAAGAAGGGGCACTTTTTACTAGAGAAGCACAATGTAAAATAATCTAAGTTAAACATACTCGAGTAGAGTGGCAGTGACATTCACACTTCTGCCTCCTCACAGGAAGCTCCCTACATGATGCTAAAGAAGAACCACGAGCAGTTTTGGGGAAACGATAAATATGAAGGTTACTGTGCCGAGCTCGCCGCAGAGATCGCCAAACACGTCGGGTTCACGTACCGCCTTGAGCTAGTAGGTGACGGCAAGTACGGTGCCAGAGACGCTGAAACAAAGATGTGGAATGGCATGGTGGGAGAGCTGGTGTATGGGGTGAGTGTGAGCAGTGCTCATTTCCACAGTTAAAATGTTTCTTTTCCTTATTTTTATCTTATTTTTAACAAACCAACAGCACATTTTTGAATATCTTAACAGTTTCTGTATTTGGCTAAAAACTCTCAGCTTTTATTACATCATCATGTTGAGCATATGTTGTTCTATACCTTTCAGCACTGATGGTGCCTTTCCAAATGTGCAAGCTGCCAATGCCATAAGCCCAGATGCCCCCCAGTACTATGCAGCTTCAGACAGTGTCTTTTGCTGGAGACTCAGCACACTGAAAAAAATATGTTGGATTAATTTGATTCAGTAGTGGACATTGATTGCACGCAGATGTTTTGCTTTGGCAGCAACTTAAACAATTGAGTTAAATTAACACACTTTATTCATGTTCAATAAACCTGTGCAATTTGTGTTGATAAAATGTGACTTAAACATGTTTTGATGAAGTAATTTGAGCTCTTAGAATATTTTAATCCTGCACAATTTTCTCACTTTATCCCAACACCATTCAGTAACTTTTACCCCAATATTACTTGGTCACTTAAATACTACATGTTATCTTCAGATTACATGTTGCTATTATATTCTAGTATCAAATCCGCTATTTTCAAATGGAGGCCTTATAACAGATTGTATTGTTCTCTTCCAAGATAGTTGCTGGCATCCACCAGTAACCTTTCAAAAAAAAATGTATATATATATAAAACACCCAGCACGCCCCTGCGGGCGGTTTATCCTTCAAGCTCGGGTCCTCTACCAGAGGCCTGGGAGCTTGAGGGTCCTGCGCAGTATCTTAGCTGTTCCCAGGACTGCGCTCTTCTGGACAGAGATCTCCGATGTTGTTCCCGGGATCTGCTGGAGCCACTCGCCTAGCTTGGGAGTCACCGCACCTAGTGCTCCGATTACCACGGGGACCACCGTTACCTTCACCCTCCACATCCTCTCGAGCTCTTCTCTGAGCCCTTGGTATTTCTCCAGCTTCTCGTGTTCCTTCTTCCTGATATTGCTGTCATTCGGAACCGCTACATCGATCACTACGGCCGTCTTCTTCTGTTTGTCTACCACCACTATGTCCGGTTGGTTAGCCACCACCATTTTGTCCGTCTGTATCTGGAAGTCCCACAGGATCTTAGCTCGGTCATTCTCCACCACCCTTGGGGGCATCTCCCATTTTGACCTCGGGACTTCCAGGTTATACTCGGCACAGATGTTCCTGTACACTATGCCGGCCACTTGGTTATGGCGTTCCATGTATGCCTTGCCTGCTAGCATCTTGCACCCTGCTGTTATGTGCTGGATTGGCTCTGGGGCATCTTTACACAGCCTGCACCTGGAGTCTTGTCTGGTGTGATAGACCCCAGCCTCTATGGATCTTGTGCTCAGAGCTTGTATAAAAAAAAAAACACCCAGCACGCCCCTGCGGGCGGTTTATCCTTCAAGCTCGGGTCCTCTACCAGAGGCCTGGGAGCTTGAGGGTCCTGCGCAGTATCTTAGCTGTTCCCAGGACTGCGCTCTTCTGGACAGAGATCTCCGATGTTTTTCCCGGGATCTGCTGGAGCCACTCGCCTAGCTTGGGAGTCACCGCACCTAGTGCTCCGATTACCACGGGGACCACCGTTACCTTCACCCTCCACATCCTCTCGAGCTCTTCTCTGAGCCCTTGGTATTTCTCCAGCTTCTCGTGTTCCTTCTTCCTGATATTGCTGTCATTGGGAACCGCTACATCGATCACTACGGCCGTCTTCTTCTGTTTGTCTACCACCACTATGTCCGGTTGGTTACCCACCACCATTTTGTCCGTCTGTATCTGGAAGTCCCACAGGATCTTAGCTCGGTCATTCTCCACCACCCTTGGGGGCATCTCCCATTTTGACCTCGGGACTTCTAGGTTATACTCGGCACAGATGTTCCTGTACACTATGCCGGCCACTTGGTTATGGCGTTCCATGTATGCCTTGCCTGCTAGCATCTTGCACCCTGCTGTTATGTGCTGGATAGTCTCTGGGGCATCTTTACACAGCCTGCACCTGGGGTCTTGCCTGGTGTGATAGACCCCAGCCTCTATGGATCTTGTACTCAGAGCTTGTTCTTGTGCTGCCATGATTAGTGCCTCTGTGCTGTCTTTCAGTCCAGCTTTGTCCAGCCACTGGTAGGATTTCTGGATATCAGCCACCTCCTCTATCTGCCGGTGGTACATACCGTGCAGGGGCCTGTCCTTCCATGATGGTTCCTCGTCTCCCTCCTCATTCTTGGGTTTCTGCTGCCTGAGGTATTCACTGAGCACTCGGTCAGTTGGGGCCATCTTCCCAATGTATTCTTGGATGTTCCTTGTCTCATCCTGGACTGTGGTGCTGACACTCACCAGTCCCCGGCCCCCTTCCTTCCGCTTAGCGTACAGCCTCAGGGTGCTGGACTTGGGGTGAAACCCTCCATGCATGGTCAGGAGCTTTCTTGTCTTTATGTCAGTGGCTTCTATCTCCTCCTTTGGCCAGCTTATTACCCCAGCAGGGTACCTGATCACGGGCAGGGCGTATGTGTTGATGGCCCGGATCTTGTTCTTACCATTCAGCTGACTCCTCAGGACTTGCCTGACCCTCTGCAGGTACTTGGTGGTTGCAGCCTTTCTAGCGGCCTCTTCATGGTTCCCATTTGCCTGCGGGATCCCCAGGTACTTGTAACTGTCCTCTATGTCTGCAATGTTGCCTTCTGGTAGTTCAATCCCCTCAGTTCTGACTACCTTCCCTCTCTTTGTTACCATCCGACTACACTTCTCCAGTCCGAACGACATTCCAATGTCATTGCTGTATAGCCTGGTAGTGTGGATCAGTGAATCGATGTCTCGTTCACTCTTGGCATACAGCTTGATGTCATCCATGTACAGGAGGTGGCTGACAACTGCTCCGTTCCGTAGTCGGTATCCGTAGCCAGTCTTGTTAATGATCTCACTGAGGGGGTTCAGGCCTATGCAGAACAGCAGTGGGGACAGAGCATCTCCTTGGTAGATCCCGCACTTGATGGTAACTTGTGCTATGGGCTTGGAGTTGGCCTCTAGTGTTGTACGCCACATCCCCATTGAGTTCCTGATGAAGGCTCTTAGGGTCCCATTGATCTTGTACAATTCTAGGCATTCCAGTATCCAGCTGTGGGGCATTGAGTCATAGGCCTTCTTGTAATCAATCCAGGCAGTGCACAGGTTGGTCAGTCTGGTCTTGCAGTCTCGGCTGATTGTTCTGTCTACCAGTAGCTGGTGTTTTGCACCTCTGGTATTCTTGCCAATTCCTTTCTGTGTCCCGCTCATGTATTGACCCATGTGCCTGTTCATCTTAGCCGATATGATGCCTGACAGGAGCTTCCATGTAGTACTGAGGCAGGTTATTGGTCGGTAGTTGGAGGGGACCGGTCCCTTCTTGGGGTCCTTGGGATCAGGACCGTCCGGCCTTCAGTTAGCCATTCCGGGTGTCTTTCGTTAACTAGCAGCTGGTTCATTTGTGCTGCCAGACGCTCGTGGAGTGCAGTCAGCTTCTTCAGCTAGTAGGCGTGAACCATGTCGGGCCCTGGTGCTGTCCAACTCTTCATACTGGAGACCCTTTCTTGGATATCTGCCACTGTGATGGTTACTGGACCCTGTTCAGGGAGGTCGCTGTGGTCTGCCCTCAGATCCTCTAGCCACTGAGCATTGCCGTTATGGGTTGCATCCTTCTCCCATATGCTCTTCCAGTATTGCTCCGTCTCCAGCCTTGGTGGTGCTGTTCTCTTATTGTTCCCTTGCCACTGAGAGTACACCTTTGCTGGTTCTGTGGAGAACAGCTGGTTTATTCTCCTGCCTTCTATCTCTCTGGTGTACCTCCTCAAGCGGCTGGCCAAGGCTGTGAGTCTTTGCTTGGCAGTTTCCAAGGCCTCAGGTATGGACAACTTGCTGTATTTCTTAGGCACCTTATTTGTCGCACCTTTCTGCAACTCCGTTAGTTGGCTAACCTCCCTCCGTGCTACTTTGATCTTGCCCTCTAGCCTCCTTCTCCATGGAGGGTACTGCCCTTGTCGCTGTTCAACTTGTAGCCAAGCATCTCACTGATCACTGCTGCCGTATTGTAGAGCAGCTTGTTAGTGTCGGTAATCGTGGTTGTAGGTATTGCCCGTAGTGCTGCATTAACATCATCTAGCAGACCTTCTGGAGGTACTTCACGTAATCTTGGTAACCGGCTACGGGGGATCCAGGTCCCCGTGGTAATCGGAGCACTAGGTGCGGTGACTCCCAAGCTAGGCGAGTGGCTGTTTTGGGAATACGAGGCATAGTTTCAAGAAATGTGTTTAAGCAATCGAGAAAAACTGCAAATTTGGATATCTGTTGTGGACATATGATAATGTGCTTCCATACATACAGATGCTTTTTTTTTAGCAAAGGGTTTTGTGTCTCTCCTCCTGCAGAAGGCGGACATGGCAGTGGCCCCGCTGACCATCACTCTGGTGCGAGAGCAGGTGATCGACTTCACAAAACCCTTCATGTCTCTGGGAATCTCCATCATGATCAAGAAACCTACCAAGTCCAAACCAGGCGTCTTCTCTTTCCTCGACCCGCTGGCCTACGAGATCTGGATGTGCATCGTCTTTGCCTACATCGGGGTCAGCGTGGTGCTCTTCCTGGTGAGACTGGGCAGACTGGATAAAGAAAGCTTTCT